TGAGGTAAAGGGCCCAGCAGCTGATCGCCTGCAGGGGCTTGAATTCACCTTTAGCATCACTGCTAGCGGAAATCTGTACTTTTTTTTTTCCTCTTTAGTTTTTATGTTATCTTTAGCATCTTTCTCTTTCATCTCCTGACCATTTCCCACCAAACATATGTCTTTTATTTTTCCTTTCTTTTTACCTTTCCTGTCTGTTTCCCTTTATCTATCACCCTTGTCTCATGGCTGCTGGTTCCCAAGGCTGATGGCTCCTAAGGCTGAAGGGGTTACCAATGCCAGCTCCACAGAGAAGGGAGCAGATAACTTGGAGGCGATTTCAGTGGCTAGATGTTATGGAATGCCTACTTTGTACCTGGCCTTGTTAGAGATGCTTTCCATGTATGCTCACATTTCATCCTCTCAGTCGTCCTAAGAGCCCAGTCTAATATTATGCAACCCCCTAGTTCAAGAATAAAAGCAGTTTGTTTTATTGTATTTTGTCTCTGAAAAACTCTGCCTCCAAAGGTTCTAGAGAAAAAGCCCCCAAGAAATGCCAACTTGAAGGTGTAAGTGGCAGCTTTGACCGACAGATTAGAGATAAGAAAGATGCAGCAACTGGGTCAGTCTCTGAAACCACGAGCAGATTTCCATGACCGATCTGTTTTATGTGCACGTTTGTGCTCTTGGGGGAAAACGTGACTTTACCAACCATGTTAATGGGGGAAAAGTTCTAACCCTTCAATAATTTCAAGAAAACCAGAATATGGTTTAGGTCAAAAAGAGTACTTGATTTTGCAACACCAAATATCCCTTTTGAGGTTTCTCAAAAATGCTGTGGCTATCCCACACAGAACTCTCTCCATATTTTTACCACAGAAACAATAGTGCTAATTCAGCATGTGCTGTGATTTAGACCACTTTGGAAGGTGCCTTAAGGAAGATATCAAAGAAATGAATACCTGCAGTCTTATAATATCATAAAAATGAAATACAGAATATACCGAATTTCCACGTAAGGTGAACATAGGAACAAATGCTAAATAAAATAAAATGCATTAATTATGTGTTTAAAAAAGTGTAGATAAACAAAGGAAATCATTGGACTTGTTTTAGTAGGTCAAAGATTTAGAGTACTATTAGATACTTATTCAAATAAGTAAGTGGGCTTATTAATAAATTATTATTGGGGACAGGAACAAAAAATGCAAAACATAGTTGAAGATCCTAAATGTCAGAACGATTTGTCTGAAGGTTTAGACTCTCCTTCCCTTAGGGATATCACGCGGGAGCCTAGCCTTTCTTTCACTCTGCAACGCCTTTGAAAAGAAGGAGATATATAAGGGGGGTGTGGCCTTTACAGGTTTACAATGCCCAAGTAGAAGGACAGTAAATATAAATAACTAGGTAACAAGATTTACCACGTGGAAGTAGAAAAGATGTCTGATCCACCAGATACATGTCTGTCTTTACCTTCATCTCTGCATCTACTACCCCAGGACAGAACTCAGCCTGGGGCCAGACTTGAATTTCTGTTGTCCATGCAGAAAGTGACCCAAGTCATTTCCTTAACACTCGGAAACATTTAAAGCTCTTTTTTTTTTTTTTCCATTTCTAGCCAAGCTGTTTAGAAAGTACAGATGCAGCTGGCACTGTGATATTGTAAGCAGCCTTGCTAAATGGCTCCAAAAGGAAAATAGCTGTCCAAATTGGGTAAATCTGTGGGCTCCATTCACCAATTTTACATCATTATTCACTGGTTCTTCAGACCCAAGAATCGAGGTCAGAGACAGCGGAGTTGCTGCTGCAATTTTGTTTACATAACAACATAAAGACTACCCTGATTACCCTCCATTGCTAGCCCCTTTTCATAAGGAATAAAGTCATTTTAGGGGTTTAGCATCTGATTTGAAGAAACCACCCCATTACTGAAGGGAGATCAGATGTTCATCTAATTTTTTAAAATGTCCATATGAACCACGTGCAACATGTTCTTCCTCTCTGGTCACGCTGAGAGATGATGACATTTTTCAGCACTTTTTTTGATGAAGGTTGTGGCAAAGATCAAAAATCTAAAGTCCACCCTGCTGGTTGCAGTCATGACCCTGGTGGCAGTGAAAATGTGACTTTAGCTTGAGGCATACAAGGTGTAATCCAGCCATGAAGGACACCTATAGAGAAAGGTGCTGTAATTATTCTTTCTTTTCTTCAATTCATTGGATTTAAATATTTAGCAACCAGATAAGATTATAAGCTGTAAATCAAGCAGTTTCTACTGCTTCATACAACATTTCAACCACACAGGCAGTATACCAGAGTGCTAAGAAGGCGTGCTTATCACCCTTCTAAAGCCTGATAGTATCTGCACCTTGAACAAATTACTTTCATAGGAGATCATGATAATGCCTACCTTTTGGAGGATTCTTGTAAGGATTCAATATAGAATTGCATATGAAATAGTACTATATCTCGTACATAAGCATTCAAAGGAAGTGCTTGCGCTCAGGTCTGTGGGAATCTGAAGCTTATGTTTTCTGGATCATGTTTCATTATTAGCAATATTAGAAAATAATCCACTATTGACTGAATGTGTCCCTTCAAAATTCATGTGTTGGTACCCTAATTCCCGATGTGATGGTATTTGGAGGTGGGGCCTATGGGAAGTAATGTGGATATGAGGGTAGAGCCCTCATATTGGGATTAGCGCCTTTATATAAAGAGATGCCAGAGAGCTTTGTTTCTCTCTCTTTCCCCCCCATGTGAGGATACAGCACGAACACAACCACCTGGTAGCCAGGAAAAGGGCATTCACCAGAATCTCACCATGCTGGTGCCCTGATCTCAAACTTCCCAGCCTCTGGAACTATAAGAAATGAAATTCTGTTGTTGAAGCCAACCAGTCTATGGCACCTTGTAAGATAGATCATATCTCAAGTCAGCTTGGACTGACTTAAGATATGATCTAATGGCAATAGTCTATCTCTGAAGTCCCTTAAAACGCTCACATTACGTGATTCCTCTTTCTTTGCTTTGTTGTAATAAAACACTTTTCGTAAGCTCCCAGTTTGCTAGGAGCACAGTAACAACTCACCTGAGGAAAGCAGTAAGAATGTTCTTGAAGTCTGACAATCCCGAGAGCTAAACTTTTAAAAATTCTATCAAATAAAAATAATCAGCAAAAATATAATTAACCACCCATTTTTCCTGGCTATGAACAAACTCTATATCATATAATTTCTATTTTTTTAAGTGTTAAGTAGAAATTTCTAAGACATTGTTTTAGTTGCCAAGACATGAAAAGAGAATTAATTTAAAAATTGGTTATCATCATTTTTATTTATTTATTTATTTTGAGATGGAATCTTGCTCTGTCACCCAGGCTGGAGTGCAGTGGTGCAATCTTGGCTGACTGCAAACTCTGCCTCCTGGGTTCAAGTGATTCCCCTGCCTCAGCCTCCTGAGTACCTGGGACTGTAGGCATGCACCACCATGCCCGGCTAATTGTTGTATTTTTAGTAGAGATGGGGTTTCACCATGTTACCCAGCTGGTCTTGAACTCCTGACCTCAGGTGATCTGTCTACCTCAGCCCCCTAAATTGCTGGGATTACAAGTGTCAGCCACCATGCCCAGCCTGTCATTTTTAATAACAAAAACTAATTTGGACTTATTGCAACTAAATTTATATTATAGCACCATAGTTCATCATGCTTTATAGTTAGTTGTACATGTTTCTGTCTCTCCACCAAACTCGTAAACAATTTTAAGGGAAGGGAGCATGTTTTTGTATATGAGGCACTTAGCATAGGGCAGGCACAATTCACCACTCAATAAATGCATGGTAACTGAATTAATGAATGAATGAAGGGTGCAGCACCGAGTTTTAAGTTACAATGTATGATTCAATGGCCTCTGCAATCCAAATTGGAAGACAGACCAGAGCGTCAAAGGCAAGTAGTGACGTAAATGAAGTTACGTCCCAGATAACAAACGTGGATAAGAGGTGCTGCTTTGTTTAAATAGAAGAGTCAGCTTTAAGGTGGGGCACAAAGACTTCATGAAAAAACACAGGATTTTATTTGGATTAGACAAATGGAAAAATCTATCCCAAGAAGAAGGGCCACGTAAGTAGTAACATAATATATTCATTTCCTGTTGCTGTTACAACAAATCACCACAAATTTAGAGGCTTAAAAAAATACAAATTCATTATCTTACAGTTCTGGAGGTCAGAAGTATGAAATGGATTCCACTGGGCTAAAGTCAAGGTGTCTGGAGGCCTGTATTTCTTTCTGGAGGCTCTAAGGGAGAATCTATTTTCCTGTCTTTTTCATCTTTGAGGGTCTCCCCGCATTTCTTGGCTCAAGGCCCCTTTCCATCTTCAAAGTCAGCAGTGACCAGCTGAATGCTGAATCTTTCTCACATCACGTCACTCTGACATTGACTCTTCTGCCACCCTTTTCCACATTTAAGGGCACTTGTGATTTTTTGGTCCCATCCAGGTAATTCAGATATTCTCTGTATTTTAATGATGGCTGAAGAGCAAGCTTAACTCCATCTTCTACCTTAATCTCCTTTGCCATGTAACTTAACATATTCACAGGTTCCAAGGACCAGGATGTGGGCACTTTTGGGAGGCCATTCTTCTGCCTACCATATGTAATATCAGATGCAGCTGACATGTTTGTGCAACAGTGTGACTTCCACAGAAATTTTGTGTGTTTGATGGAAGTCTGAATGTGTTTACAGGACTAGATGAGTGGGAGCCTATTTTTGAAAGTGCTGAATGCCCAAGAAAGGGATTTGAGTTATTTTTAGGAGTAATAACTCTCTTTGCATCAAATTAATATTAATATTGCCATTACTTTTCATACGTTACCTATTTGAAAATGATATGATTATAAATTATATTCAATCCAGAATATCATAACTTTTAAAGGTAAATAAGACTTAACTGAAGTTTTCAATGGTTAATGAGAGACTTGAAAAACACAATTCAATAGTAGCCTCATCAGTTGCCTCCTCAAAGTTTGAAAGCAGGAAAAAAAAGTAATAACAGCATTGAAAAGGCATTTTTAAAAGCCCATATTCTAATTGAGACACACAAACATAAAATCAGCAAGGTATGCGAACATACGCAAGTCAAAGACAGGTGTATTTTACCTTGCACCTTAGTAGACAAAAGAATGTAAAGATATCTCAGAAAACAAGGAATGCAAGAAATCTTACCAGCAGACCACAAAATGCATCCAGGAAGATCGCGGAAGACAAAGAGTAGATAGACCTAGAGGTCCAAATAAGAAAATGGAGCAGTTAGTATCCATATCCTATAGATAGAAAGATAGCAATAATTTTTAAGTAATGTACAAAATAGAAGGAGAAAACCGTAGTTAAAATTTCAATGTGGGATTAAAAAAAAAGTACCAAAGTGAAATTCTTAGAGAATCTTTGGATAATAAAGATCTTATACACATGTCAAAGTTGTCAAATACTCTAGTATGCTGGGCTTTTTGCCTTGATTATGGTACAATTATTCTTCTAGCAACTGCATATCAAACAAAAAGGGTTCAGTAAGAATCCCTGTACTGTACTATGCAAAGAATGTATTGTATACATACTCTATGTTAAATGGCCATCCCTTTAATTTTCACTCTAAATTATCCTGCCATTACAGGGGAAAACAACTCCTAAAATTACCAGAAATAATATAACATTCTGTAGACTAGTTTTTGATACATATCTTCCAACTTTCTCTTTCTCATTGTTTATTTACTCCCCTGGATTATATATATCAGGAAGTATTGGTCTTCATAACCGTAGCAAAGCACTTAGCCTTAGAAAGAATCAGGAAAGTCGATGGAAAAAATAATACAGCGTTTCCAATTACCCCCAGATGCTTTCATTTATTCTAAGCGTTCTTGTTTAGCTAACTGTACAAATTTTTAATCATAAAAATCTGGTAATGTTCTAGCCCCATGCTCTTGGTTACCCTGGTCTTCCAGCTATTCACATGTCTCTTGCTTCTGGCATCATTTTCCCATGAATACTGTGCCTGTGGCCACATGAATTCCAGGGGATACCTGTTAAAGAATGCAGCCTATTGCAGAGTTTACTTGATCGATTTTTGTGTTGTGTGTGTGTGCGTGTGTTATGTGTGTTTCGCTGAGACTGACATTGCAGTAGATTCCTCTGAATCAGCAGCACCATTAGCCACTGGCTATTGCACCATGAATGCCTGCTTCTTTTTTTTCCCCATCTTTATTTCTTTAGGGAATCATCTGGTCACCATTCACTCATGCCTGGAATATCACAGTGGGAAAGATTACCAGGCTTCATGGAAAGACCACTTTACATAAATCTTTAATAAACCAAATGAAAGAGCAGGTCTTGGTGAAAGTATCACTGATGATGGAGATCAAAGACTCAGAGCCTTGCCTGCATTCCAACCATTCTGAAAATAGGAGGGGTGCAACGAAATGCTGGAAAGACAGAGTCATGGAGAAACTGGCCTAACTAAATGGCATTTGACATTTGATGAGAAAAGACTGTCAAAAATAATATTTGTTTATGAAATTCTTTAAGAATCACATATATTTATTGCATTGGCTTATAGTTGATAGTCAACCCATATCCTTACAGTTAACCCATACAGGGAAATGAAGAATAAAACAAAATTGACAAGCTGTGGTTCAGTGTCCCTGGACACAGCCCTTGTTCTAACACAGCAATTCTGGTTTCTTCTTTCCATTGAGAGTATTTGGCCTGAGCCAGGATGAATGTTTTTAGAAGTCCTAATAGGTGTATCTGGAAAGACTGGGATGGTTGCTGTGTTTTCCTCTGTAAATAACTAATATGGAACAGACATAAAATAATTCCTACATGGTTATACTCTAGCCTTGCTACTCAGAGTGTGGTCATGACCAACAGCCTTGTCATCCCCAGGAAACTTGTTAGAAATGCAGAGTCTCAGGTCCCTGCCTGACTTCTGAAATCAGAAATCTACATTTTAATGGAATCCCCAGGTTATTCAAATGCACATTAATATTTGAGAAGGCTTGATCTAGAATAGCCTCTAAGAGATACCATTTGGCATAGATGTTCTGTGTAATTCATAATTACCAGGAGGTAATAAGTGAAAGAGGGAAAATAAAAATTAAGTGGACGAGGCAGCAGGATCATACACAATACACATGCAGCAGTTGAAATTTCCTTTTTCCAAATTGACTTTGAACTCCATAAATACGAACATAAATGAATGTCGAGGACAAAAAGAAATCCTGTTAGAAGGCTTGATTCCTCATCGTTTTCTCACTTTCCTTTTGTTATGTCATTTATATAAAAAATCTTTCTATATCTTATTAGTGGTCTAGTTTATTAGATTAAGAGAAAACTCTCAGGCATTTTCCAGCAGTTTTTTGAGAACGTCTGGTTAATCTCTCCTCCAGCCTCCTTGAGATCTTCTTAACCTGGTCAAATTCTTGAGAGCTTTCAAAATTTATGCATCTTACTTATTTAAAAGAATTTCTATCATATTTCAGACTTTGTACAGGCCACTTTTTAAACATCACCTTTGATTCTGCACACTACACTTCCTTTAAGCACACTTGCAAATTAAACAGAGGTCAGTTAGGAGCAATCAAAATTATGAAAATGTACCCCCCAAACAAAACATTGAGGCCCTCATCAATTTGCCTAGGGAAATGAGGCCAGTAGGGGGCCTGAAGACATGTGTTCCCTACCACAGCATATGACACGAAGCTGCGCACAGCTCATGAACATCAAACATATTTTGTGTTCAGTCACTCTGGACTAAAACCAAAATTCCCTATTAAAAGAACCTATATAGTATTAACTAGAACACTAAATAACATAGTGAAGTTCATGTAGGATGAGACCCTAGACAGGATTCCTGGGCTTTTATCCCTCCAAAATGCACTTACTAAGAATATTTATCTTATTGAGCACATATATTGTTCTGTATCTGTCTATTCTCACTCATACTTTCACCAGGCCTACCTTAAGAACCTTGCTACCATCAAATCTCTCACTGTCTTCTTCCACAGGTCACTCCCCAATACCCTCTATCCAACAGCCCTGCCTTCGACTTCCTTCACTCCTGCATTCTCTTTGGGGAACCCAAATTTCCGAAGTGAGACCTACTTCAAGGGTGGAAGGGCTTGATTTTCCAACTTTCTAACAGATCCCAGGAAAGGATAGCCGAAATTTGTGTTTAATGAAATTGTCAGCCATATATCCCACAGCTTAAAAATAACAATATTAAATTTTTATAGCAGATTACAGTTTTAAAATAACTGACATTCTCATCTTATTTAATCCTTTTAAGAATCCAGTGTGATGGATAAAATGTTTATTGCTATCATACCCATTTATAGATAAGGCCCCAAATTTGGGGCAGAGCTCAGTGGTGAGTACAGATCAAAACCCAGTTTTTGTTAAATCTCAGCCAAGTTGCCTCAGAGAGTTACTTTAGCGATTTCCTTGTTGTAACTGTTTTCTAAGAAGTTGACACACTCGAATGTAAAATTCTGAAAAGTGTACTCTACTGCCACTATGATCTTTTACAGTCAGAAATAAGTCCTGAAATCCTAGAAAGGCTACAGTCAGAGGGTGCCAGGGTTCAGTAATGGGACAGAATAGCAGACTGTATTCATCAGCAGGCAGGAACTGAGTAGAGAAAATCAAGTCTTCCTGCCATGTTGTTCTCAACCTTTGTTTGACTGGAGCCATTTTTATTGGGAAATTCACAGAGACAGTAAACTTAGCATTAGCTAAGATCTTTAAGAGCCATGATAGAGTGTGATGCTAGCTGAAATCCTAGTTTCTCTCTTAAAACGTACAAAAATAAATGAATAAGTAAAGGAGGGAGCAGTCACTCACACTGAAATATAGAATTAAGGCAAAAGAGGCCGGGCAGTTCCCCAGTACCTGAAAATGGACCCAAAGACGAGCACAGAAGGTTTTCCCTTCTGCTGTTGCTCCCATAGTTAGCATTCATCTGCACAGTGAACAAGAAAATGATTGGGTTTGGTTTAGACACCTGTTCTGAGAGCAAACTACTTATCTGTCAGTTCAACCCCTTACTTTGCCCCACCTGTCTTTCCTCATCTCGCCCCACATGCTTTCCCCCTTTTCCCCATGATGATGGAAGTATGTGCTGCCTTGTAGGGTCGGTCTGTAGACAAGTCCTTTTTCCTACTTGATGGCATTTATTGAGATTAGCTAAGGCCAGAGTTATCACATTTCTACGTCTCCTAAAGGACACTGTAAATTGTTTGAGCTTCTTCTACTCAGACTGCATAAAGCAAAGTTGAAAGACCTGTTTTTCCTTCCCTGATCATTTTGAATTTTTTTGAATTGCATTTGTAAAAGCAGAGTGGCAGAGTGTGTGTGTGTGTGTGTGTGTGTGTGTGTGTGTGTGTGTGTTTACACATCCATACTTGAACTGATGGAGAGGAAAGTTCAGGAAAAATAAATAAATAAACTCCCTCCATAGTTTGCATATTTTTTCTAAAAGATAGATCACAGATGAGGGTCAATAGGGTATAAAACAATTCCAAAATATCTGAATGAGAAGATTTTCATCAAACTTTTTGTTTTGTAAGAATCTATTAATAAACTCAAAATGAAAGAAAATGACAAAGGATATATGTTTCTAAGTTTCCATTTTTTAAAAGTACATCCTCTAGAATTATTAGAAATATTTAATGTTATAAATGCCTTATTTTACAAATCATATATAATAAGTACTTATCTGCCTAGTTACTGGAGCACCCATAGTATACAAGAATTTTACATAGCCCTCAGAACACCAAAAGTTCTTCAACATACCAGGTTCTAAATCAACTATGTCTTTGACACTTTTCTTGGTTGTATACATTAGTATAGGGGTTATCAATTCTTTCATAGCTCAAACCACACAGCAAAGTCTTTTTATTTTTTTTTGAAGGAGCCAATCCAATGGCTAGTCTTTATCAGCTGCAGGGGATCAGTGGACCAGCTGGTGGGGCAGCTTGTAATAGTTTCCACAGTCAAGATGGGTCTCACCTTTGTCCAGCCAAAACCAGATGATAGCACTGCTATGCTCTTCGCAGAAGCTGCCCACTGCTGGTGAAGGAGGGGGGCTAACTTAAGGTCCTCCTTGGTGCCTGAAGCTGCCTTTGGGGCTAGTATATTGTATGGGTCCAGTCCCTTCCTTGCAGCCATCATGATCTCGCTCTCCAATTCAATCACCTGCTCGTTATCAGTAAGAACATCATCTCCAGATGCCTCGGAGTGCACTTCAACCACCCCTCTGGGACCCTAGGCCCTTAGAGCCTGCGCAGCCAGCACCCCAGCTCCTCAAAGTAACCTTGAAGCTATCACACCCTCAACAAGTAGCAGTACTTCTAGGAACAGCAGTCTTTTTGACCCAATTAGGAGTCCATTGTTCATTGGGGCAAGCTGTTTTAACTTTGTTAGTTATCATTATGTTGGGTTGATTCACAATGCCTGAAAAAGAACTTGGTTATTTTGAAAGTCTACTTTAAAATGTCCTGTCTGTAGCATGTTAATTACTGATACTAACATGTGTAAGGACCCTCACAAGTTACCTGTATGGGTCTTCTCTGTTCCATGATTCCTCTGATCACAGAAACAACCCCATCCTTTCCCCACCCTCAATGACCCAAACTTCTGGCTGCAGATTCCATATTGAGGTGAATGATGTCCACTGAGTAGTGAAAAATTGTAGGTTTAGAGGCAGGCTCTTCTAAAGCAACCATCTGCAAAACAAAAGAGATCTCAGCCTATGAAATGCTAGCTATGAAATGTAACAAAACCTCCTTTCAGATAATTCACATGGTAGAGAGGCTTTAGTCCAATAAGTACTAGCCTCATGTCAATTTGTTCCAATCTCTTGAACCTGCAATTGAGCCAAAAATTTCCTGAGCCAAGCTTTCTCGCAAGATTTCCTGTACTTCCTGTTTCTACGTGAGCCAGAAATACCATGAGAACGACCTTTCTTGTGGTATTTTTGCACTTCTACTCTGGGTTGAAAATAATCCCATATTGGGGGAAATTTTATTTAATTATACAAATATTTTCAATTTTCAAACCTTCAAATGAAGTGGGTTCCTCTTTGGGAATGAAAATCTGAAATGGTGATTGCTTGGCCCTGACTCATCTCCACTAGGAAGTATTCGTGCTCAGTGATCCAACATTTTGTAATTTTTCTAAGATATTTTTACAAGGAACTAGGTAAAACAATACAGAGGGTACAATGGAAATTTATATCCTTGGATTTTTTTAAAAAGTGATTCTTGAAGAAATGAACAATGAAGTGTTGTATTCTTAGTATATTAGTGTATGTGATATATTATATCATATATTTGTTTTCTTTGTTCTTAACCCCTTTGTTCCAAGGGTCAGGATATCCTGATGCTAAGTACTATTGCAAAATAACTGAACAAAAATAAAAATAGTCAAATACTTAGGAAACTCTTCAGTTGTTATGTCAAGGAAGTTTGTGAGTGAGGAGTGAGTTTAAGACATTATTCAGGAAATATGATAATAAAGCGAAAGAGTCTGCATGTGCTTATTAAATAAAATCATCTCAATCCTAGAGAGCCTTGATGCCCCCAGCCTGATGGAAGGGTCAGAGAAGGACTGGACAGGCTGTCAAAGTGGTGCAAGTGTCAAACTGATACTTGAATCCTTTCATCTCATACCAGAGAGGGAAATAAGGAAGGGCATATCTTTCTAATCAAGTAGACCATTGATTATTTCCTAATTGTGTTGTATGAATATCTGGTTGTTATAGAAAGAGCTGCTTGATCAATATTTCAATAACAAAATTCACCAAAAGCAGTGTCTTCAATGTCTTTATTATTGTTTTATACCCTCTTGACCCTCCTTCACCTGTTAGAAAAGAGAACAGGTTTGCTAGTATACTTTTCAATCTAGAAAAAAAGAAAAGTCACTTAATCCAGTATGGAAAACTAAAGTTATTAACCATAGGTTTAGAGAAATAATAATAACAATAAAATTACAGTTGTCTTTGCTGGTTTCAACTTTAAAAAAAAAAAATGAGATGGGAGCAATGAAAATAAAACATACTCTACAGTGATCTCCTCTTCCCCAAGTTTCCTCCTCTCTCCCATGAAGAAATATCAAAAAAATTGTGTGATAAACCAGCCTCGAAAGGAATGTAGGGCAGAAGCAGCAGATTATACATCAGCAAAATGGCATGCCAAGCAAAATAAAGCACTTCACAACGTGGAGACGTGAGGAGGAGAGGAAGATGGGATTGCTACAATGTCCTCCAAGAAAACAGAGGCTATGCACCTGAGTGTACAAGTTCAAATTGTTCCTACAAACCCAATACAAAACCACCCCACTTTCGTTTCTGTCCAGGGCCTTTCACATAAGCTACAGGGGGCATCGCCTTTTGTTGAATTGGTTCTTACTTTCAGAATTGGCACCTCCATCTCTGAGACAAGGAACAAGCGGCATGGCCCACAGTTGAGGTTGCCCTCAATTCAACCACTCTCAGGTCGGGGACACAGTAGTCAGTGGCCCACATAATAAGTCAACAGTGTTCTCCCTGCAGAAGGTGAATCGTTAACACTCTTTTCTTTCTTTCATTGCCATTTATGCCCCCTGTGAACATCTTTTAAAATTATTGTTCCTTTGAAAATGGGTTTTGAATGGCCCTGAGCCACATGTCCAGGCTATGCAGGCCACTGCCATATGCATGAGGATGTTGATGCTTCCCTAATTCGCATCTTTCGGAGTTAGCTGTGGAATGCGATGCAATGTTATTTCCCTTCCAGCTGAAGGGCAGCTGAGGTTACGAAGGGATTTGACTAACAGGTCATAACCCAGTTAGGTTTGCTGAGAACCAAGTGACACAGGAGGGAGGGATCAAATGGAGGCACTGAGGATCCACCAAGCCCATCCCACCACTGGTCTTGGTGACTGGGCCACGTGGCCCCTAGCCCCCCCCCAGACCTTCCAGAGAGAAGCAGCTGAAGATTGGTTCTGCAGACGCTCAGTTTCCCCTGGTTTGTGTTTGTTTGTTTGTTTGTTTGTTTGTTTTAGAACTCCTTGGTACTTGCAGGGCTTGAGCCTGCACCACAGGGGTGACTCCTCACCTGACACCTCCAGATAACTGGCCTGCGGCAAGGCGGGAATCCTTGTGTGAGGTTAGCAAAGGGGAAGCCCCGCTCCTTTGCCTGAAGTCCTTAAGACCTAAGCCATTTGACAAACTTTGACAAGCACCAAAAGAGAATTCAGAACAAATAAATCAGAAGAAAGAAGAGGAAAAGCAAATGCTAGAACTTAGATGGGTTTTTTTTTTTTTTTTTTCCTCTCGCTGTGGTTCCAGCTGTAGCCTGGGATTAATTAAGTGCTGTGAACTCAGTGCCAGAAAGAGGAGGGGAAAAAAATGCATTCTATCTCTAAGGAAGGAGTACAGTAACAGTTTCTCACCAGTGAGAAACCTAGGGAAGTGGATCGCTCTCGTCGGCAGTGTTTGTGGAGGGCCTGGAGAGACAGGGAGGCTGTGCCAGGCTGGAGGAGGCTCGTCTTTCTGAAGCTGGAGAGGATCTTACGGGGGTTCGCCTCTCCCTGCCTGGGAAGAATTTCCCCTGTGGTAGCAGCAGCAGCTGCAGCAGCAGCAACAGCAGAAGCAGAAACAGCAGCAGCAGGAGCAGCAGCAGCAGCAGCACCACTACCTCCTCTTCTGGGGCACAAGGCAGAATGCCTGTGCTAGAGCGCTATTTCCACCCAGCAGAGCTAGGCAGGAGGTGGAAAGGCCCAGAAGGTGTGCTGCCCTCCTCCCCGGGAAGCCGGCCGGGGTGCCAGCAGGGGCCGCTGCCCTGGGACTTGCCAGAGATGATCAGGATGGTAAAGCTGGTTTGGAAATCCAAAAGTGAGCTGCAGGCGACCAAACAGAGAGGCATTCTGGAAAATGAAGATGCTCTCCGCAGCTTTCCAGGTAAATGGACCATGGGGTGTAATCGGTCACAGAACCAAGTAGGATACCTCCCCCTCTTTGGAGAGTTCAAGCAATAGGGAGGAAGACAAACTGGGTAGCATAGGGTCCAAGGGCTGTGACTTCCAAGTGTCTGCTGTATGATAGAAATGCATCTTAAGATTAAGACTGATTTAGTAGGAGGAGCATTTGACTGGAAATCAAGAAACCTGGGTCCTGGACTCAGCTTGACACACGCTTCCCCCGTGGGCTTGCACTGGTCAAATTTCCTGAGTTTGAGTCGCCACCAAGAAGGGGGTGGATTTGGATGCTCTTTAATGGCCATCCTGACTAACATTTCTTGTCAACAAGTTAGAGATATCCCCAGGAGAATATTCTCCTTGGGCTGCTTTTTATTATTCTTTATATAAAGTAAAACATCTTTTCCAATTTTTAACTCTGCACTTATATCATGTATCATGTTCCCAGCACTGAGTTTGACATGCAGGCTTTTTATGTCCTGGGCAAGCTGGTAAACTTTCTTGACTTGGTTTCCCCTTTGACATATGTCAGGAATACAAACACCTTTATTGATATCAACTCACTCACAAATGTAGAAATGATGATTCCCAGGGACTCTGTCATGTCATGAGAATGTGCTGTGTTTGGGACAGTTGTGGAGAATGTTCCCGTGTTTCTGACAGTGGACACAACCACCACCAAGATGCCCAGCATGCCTGGGAAGGATCCCAAGGGGCTTCGTAAACTAAGAAAGCCACCGCTGACTGCAGGGCACTGTCTTTGAGGACTATGTTGCTAGATATGTGGAAAGTGGTGGGTTCACTTCAGAAGAAAGAACATGAGTGTGTGTTTATGCATCTGAAGTCTTGGCTAGCCCTATGTGGTGGAATGCTGGCGTGCCATTGGCAGTGAGGGATGGGTAGATGGAAAAGATACATCAAAAATTACCTCTCCCTTTCTCATGGAAAGAGACTAGGAAATAAAAACCTGGCTAGTTTCGATTTTAATGATTTATGCCAGGAAATTTTTTTAAGTTTTTAATAATCTGTAAAGAATTTATTAAGACGTTAACACTCTGAGAAAAGAAAAGATTTAAAAGGAAGGAAAAAAAACAGGGTTGGTCTCTACTAAACAATGAGTCCTTGAGTACACAGGAAAGCGAAGGAAACCAGTAAGACTGAGGTTTATGTGGCAATTGGGAGAAGGATGCCCAGGGAGATGGGTCTTGGTCAGAAGCAATGAGGTAATGCTAATCCAGCATTTCATGTGAGTAGGGCAAGACAAATGGAAAAACCCACCTGGGCAGAAAGTTTAACTCTGACACTTCAACTCTTAGCACTTGAGGTTTGTTTCAGTCAATTAAATGATAAAAATTTATATTTCAAACTGTACCTTTGATAAAACTACCTAATTCACCAGTTGTTAGCACGTCTGTGGGGATAGGTGTACATTGTTTATATTCTGTATTAGTGGGCATCTAATTCCTGAAAAAGCAATACTTTGGGGAAAAAGCAGAACTCCTATAATTTCTTATGACTTAAAAGGCATATTTTTCTGGACGTCATGAAGCAGGGCTTGTTGGCTTTTACTAGATACCTCTCTACCACTGCCTCACGTTCGGTGGAAACTGTCTGAGAAGCCACTTGGATTCCCAGGAAAGCCGCACCCTGGTCTGCTGTCCTGGTTGCTTGCCTGCGTGGAGACAGGCTCTATTTGAACACCTTTCTGAAGGATGTGCGTTTGCCTCCTCTTCTTCCTCCTGTGCCTCCTGACTTTTGGGGAGACGAGGGCTCACCCTTACTGGAATGGGTGTAAAATCTTATCATCCTCCATCTGTGCAGAACAAGGTCATACGATGCAGCCCCAAAGATGAGATGCTTCACTTTCCAAACTGCCTCGTACCTTCTTCCTCACTCACTTGTCCCTGGTGCTGCATTTCCTCCTAGCATCAGGTGTCTTTAGCTGCACCATTATCACCACAGCAGCACGACCATGGAGCTCTCAGGAACACTTAAAGATGGTTTCAAAACTTCTGGCATTTTTTTTTGTTTGTTTTTAGAAAATGGTGATTTAAGCTGTTTTCAGTTCATGCACAGAGGCAGAGGGTTATAGTAGAAAGTTCTTCAAAAAAACACCAAGACACATGGAGATCTCGCTCTCTCTGTCATTTCATCCTTGCCTCGGTATCCTCAAACAATTTATACTTTCACTATCCTTTTAAGCAACTGACTATGCATCAAGTGAGCCTTGATTTATGCTTGAAATGTTTTTTCTTGGCTCAGTCAACTGAAAATTTTCTATTCAAACAACAAAGCCTAGGTCAAGCATCTCTCTCTTTAAAATGCTTTTCCTGATCACCAACAGCCTCCCATCTCCCCCAGTGGTTTTCTGCTCCCTCCTCTTTGCTATCTTTACCTGTAGTTACTTAACATTTTACATTTAAAGCACACAATGTTTTTGCTATGCTAGTAACTAAAAACAGAAAAATTAAATGTTATTCTGTGGATATTTTGACTGCTTGTGATAACGAATTGATTTAAATTTTTTTAAACCATGAAATTGCAGAAATTCCAAATCAAACCAACAGTTACTTTAGAGGACTTTAAAGATGGCTATCACTGAATCTTAATGTTTTTAATAACACCTTAAAAGTCCCAGCATTTCTTTTCCTTAGCAAAGGGCATCATTATTTTTATTCACACTACTTCAACAAGACTGGAACTTTGTTTCTCACAAGTGAAGTAGAGAAATGGTCTGAGATTTGCCTAAGGTAATAAAAGGAAAGAATTAAAAAACACATACACATGTTCATTTTTTGAGATGGAGTCTTGTTCTGTGGCCCAGGCTGGAGTGCAATGGAGTGATCTCGGCTCACTGCAGCCTCCACCTCCCGGGTTCAAGCAATTCTCCTACCTCAGCCTCCCGAGTAGCTGGGATCGCAGGCATGCACCACTGCACCAGCTAATTTTTTGTATTTTTAGTAGAGATGGGGTTTCTCCACGTTGGTCAGGCTGGTCTCGAACTCCTGACATCAGGTGATCTGCCTGCCTTGGCCTCCCAAAGTGCTGAAATTACAGGCATGAGCCAGCACGCAGAGCCCATGAGAGGTTTTAAGATGAAATATGCTGAATTGAGAGTGATGGAAGGGAAAGAACAGTCCCCTGGAGAGAGTGGAGAAATGCCAGAGAGGTGATACAGGGGAACATATCCCACCATCTTCAGAATGGCATGTTCTGCAGACTGTTAGGTGGCTGTCCAAGGCAATAGACTGTAGGACAGGATGGGAGATGACAGGAGGAGGAGGAGCTTGTCACCTTCACATGTGAGGGTGTATTCATCTGGGAGTGTCCCCAAAGTTGGGCATTGGCCAAGACATTGCTCACCCTAGAAAGGGGCTCTGGAAGTTATCACCGTGCTTGAGGTCTAAGTGTCAACTCTGTTCTTTGAACCACACCCAATTATTTAATTGTCTTAATACTTATATCCTTTTCCCTTTATGAAGCAAACAAAGGATGATCTGATTATCTAGTTAACCCCCTGTATTTTGGAGATGAGATGAATAGTTCAGAGAGACTCAATAAAGCATCCAGGGTCACACGTTAAAACTGCATCAGAACCAGACCGGCATGTCAAATGCCCAACTGTGGTCCACAAAATTCATGTGATCAGAGTACATGCTGGGTAATATAAACTTAAGTTTAATCCAAGATGTGGCTTTATTGATTATATGTAGATGGGGTAAAATGAGAATTCATCGTGTAAAATAAACCTTGGTCAAACCAGAAAAATAGTATTACCATGCAGAACAAGTCAGAGGATTATGTCTTATATATATTTTCTACTTTTTTTGTGGGCTTTCGTCTTAGATCCAAGCTTCACGTACTGCAAATATCCAGGGAAAGATCCCCAACTATTATCAAGAGAAAGTCACCTTATACCATTGCAGTGAGGGCATGCACCCATGTGGGAATGGAGAGAGGGACGAGAATAGGAAATAAATAAGTGGCTTCTCAGACACTGTGCAGACAAATATGATGCTAATTATAATTCTAGTCAGCAACCTGTTTAAGGCTAGATATCCCTTAGCAGAACTTGTTCTTAGTTGAATAATTTGATTTTGGAATTCAACCAAATAACTGCAAACTCTGCAACTGAAACTTACCTTTCATTTCAGTGTCTCTGGTCTAAATTTTGCATTATAGTTTACTTATTTATTAAGTTTGTTCTGATTTCAATAGGAAAATATAAATACACACAAATCTCTCAAAGAAAGAAACTCATTTTCCCCATAGCCATTGTAACATCTCTTGCCTTTCAAGGAGAATACAAAATCAGAAATTTGCTTTATTCCCAGGCCTGAATATCAAACAGTTTCAGAGAAGAAAATCTCTAAAACCATTCTATGATTCCAGTACTCTACAATTCAAATTAATATTTAAACTACTATTTCAAAATGTCTTAAGTATCAAGCATGATATAAACCAAATATGCTGAAGAATGAATACTTCAATCATTATAATCAAGAAGCATTTATGGGATGCTTAGTGAGTACCAGGCACTGTGCTAGGCACCAGGGACTCAGAGATGAATCAAAAGCTTAATGAAAGAACAATGATGGATTTATGAATCAGAGCTCTGTCTACAACTACAGTGGGAAAACTGTACTTGTTAGCTTCAACCTCCCTGTCAACTCAAACTACGGGCTGGAAAACTGGTAAAACTCTAAAACACTTGTAAAAATGTGTACACTTTCAAATACTCATCGGTTCTAATGATTTCATTCAAAGCAGGACAAATTGCTTTGAGCAAAGAATCAATTAGTCTCAATGCCAGATAAGTATTAACTCAACATTTTTCTAAAACTACTGCTTTTAGACATCAGTCTGTTTTTAACTCTGTAGCTATGCTAGATAATAATCATCATCATTAATAATTTAATTCATCTTTTAAATGTGAATGCAAATTTAATCAAAACTGTAACACATCATCTTACTTTAAACTAAACCTTTTCCTTCACTTGACTTGTTTTCATGAATGACAGAAACCCAGGTTCAAAACTGCTAACTCCAGCTCCCCAATTCCCACTAGTTTTAAGTCCATAAGAAAGGTTAAGGATGCCAGAGTATAGTTGCAGTGTTGAGATTTTAAAAGTTTTAAATTCTGCATCTTCATTACTGAATTGTGTGACCCTGGGTGGGTACTTCAGCTCTCGGTGCCTCAGTTTCCTCTTCTATAAAAAGAGAATAACTAATAGCATCTTTGCATAAGGTTGTTATGGGGATTAAATGACATAATAGCAAAAAAAAAAAAAAGTGCTTAGAAAATAATCTAAGTTCCACCACACTCTTAGTAAATGTAAACTCTCATAATTATTGGTGTTGGTGTTATTTTCTCAACAACTTCTCTCATTCATTCTCTTTTCTCTGATCAGTTGCATGGCCTTTGGTCAAACCTCATGTTGTTTTGTCTATAATCTTGCAATAGCCTCCAACTCTCTCTATCCATTGTCATTCTATTCTGTGATTTACATCAACAGTATTCAAAGAAAAATCAGGCTGGGTGCGGTGGTTCATGCCTGCAATCCCAGCACTTTGGGAGGCTAAGGGGGTAGATCACAAGGTCAGGAGACCGAGACTATCCCGGCCAACATGGTGAAATCCTGTCTCTACCAAAAATAGAAAAATTAGCTGGGTATGGTGGTGCGTGCCTGTAGTCCCAGTGGCTTGGGAGGCTGAGGCAGGAGAATTGTTTGAACCCAGGAGGCTGAGATTGTGGTGAGCCGAGATCGCGCCACTGAACTCCAGCCTGGCAACATAAGGAAACTCGGTCTCAAAAAAAAAAAGAAAAATCAAGATATGTCTCTACCCTTCTTCAAAATTCTTTAATAATTCTCTTGTGTCTGCAGAGGAAATTCAAATTCTTTACTCCTGCATTTGAAGTTCTCCATCTGGCACTAGCTCACTTTTCCAGCCTTATTTGTCATTACTGCTCTCTGATCACTCATATTCTACCCAGACAAGACAGACATCCCACAGACCCTACTTGTTTTCTGCTCATTGTTCCCAATGCTTAAAATGACTTTGCTCCATGTCCCTAACCTCTCCCATTCCTTAATACCCCACTCGCATGCTAGCCACCTCATGAATCCCTCCTGAGATTACTGAAGGAATGTATGTCTTTCTCTTCTGAAGTTTCACAGAACTTTCTTTGTATTTAACAGGAAAATCACTTTATTTTGTTACAATTAGTGGACATTTTCTTCCTCTCCTCCTAGATTCCAGCTCTTTGAGAGTCTGGAGAACATTCTATTTTCTTCATGTTTTCCCTGACATCCATCACATGGCAGCCCCTCAAGGCATTTTGATATGTGAGAAAAATAAAATATTATCAGAAGGAATAAAACAGCTTATAAATTGCCATTAAGTGCATGAATGAACATCTTTTTAGAGACAGATTACTCAAGAAACGTGAATTCTAGCTCTCCTTTTTAATGGAATCTTTTTAAAACATATTCTAGCAGAAGATCAGGATTAGTCATTATAGCTTTTAAAATAAAAGAAGACACAAGAGTGAAATTCAGAACTATTAAAAAAAGGTATAAGTGAAAAACCAATATAGACAGCTCTCTCTTCATACAGATAAATTGTAATTTGCTGATAATTGCAAAATTTTAGAGCAAATGCATGCATTTGTAGACTTTTAAAATAATTACTCTGTTCATGCATTTTGGAACACTTTGCATAAACTAAAGTTTCAAAAGCGGCTTCTTCTACAGATAACAGTCTGTAGACTCCCAAACATAATTTCAAAAATAGAGTGCAGAAGGTGTGTGTTTACCCAGCCCTATAAATGAGCTTTTGAGGGGCTGGCGCTCAATGGAGGATGGTATTCCCAAGTCCTCTGCCCGTTCTCTGCAAACAGTTTCTTTTTTCTTTTCTTTCCTTTTTTTTTTTTTTTTATTTAATTTTAAACAAGCCTGGTTCAACTCAACAGAAAAGCATTGACTTTTGCATCAGACAAATTCCTTAAAAAAAAATTAGTAGCTTTATTGTGAAAAGTCCAAAAGCTTTGAGGTTATTTTTTTAAATCACAGAAGCAACTGAAAGTATGCACTCTCTTCTATCTGATTTCGTTTCACTCTTTAATTTTCAGTACGCTTGATAATACATAGAAGGTTCATCTCATCATATCAAAAATAGGCAGGGTTGACGGAATTTGTGATGTAATACAATGCTGTAGTCTTGATGGCACACAGTGTGAAGTTTACACTTCATTGTCTGGTTTATCCCTCTCTGCTTTTCCATGCATTTCGCTTTGGAATTGACTTTGATCTCTAAAATGCCAAAAGACCACCCCAAGAAATGAGTTTTATATCTTTGGACTTGTCTTAAATTTCCCCAAACTATAAAATTATTAGAAACTCCTAAGCACTTCTTCTTACCTAAAAAATCCACAGGGCATATATTTCAGAGTTTATAAAGCAAGCCACTGTCCTGAGCATTTCGTTAGTTCATCGGCTGTCATACAAATGCTGAGGGAGTACTCCAGTGAGTAGGTCACAGGTCTCATCATGAGTGACAGGATAAAACTTGTCAGCCTTGTACACAGTTGGAAGGCATGGCTGACAAAGACAAAGCAAGGTTTAGTTGTGGAAGGCCTTGGGTCCAAGGGGCCAAGCTTACCACAGAAAAATAAAATCACTAGAGAGAAAAGCACATATTTCAAGAAAGACTGAGTCACCAGTTGCATGAACATGGTAGTAAAAATAAAATAATTGAAAGGTACAGGAGCCAGAAAATTGTAAAATAAAGTCAAGGTGAGAGCTATGATGGAATGAATGTCAATCTTTTGGAAAGGTATCAAAAAGGAAAATTAAATAACCAAGGGTAATAAGACACATATCATGTAATAATTAAAATGTTAATATTTCTTAAACTCTGGAATTAAAGCAAAAACTAAAGAAATATTCTCTTTCTTGCTTCCCTCTCCAAATCTTTTTGGGCGATACCCAAATATTTCACATAAAGCCATAAACAAGAGCAACAAGCACTTCAGAAAACGTGAAGAAATGTACATTTAGAGGATTTGTGACAGTAGTTTGTTCAAAGCAGTGGATAGTTTGATGAATAAAATAATTTAGAAAGAAAAGACATGTCAGGCAGACAGCCAGGCCTAGAGCACCCTGAAGAAGGGAGTCAGGTGAGGTTACTACAAAGAAACATTCAAATATAAGAAGTGTAATCAAAAACACATACAGAAATGAGAAGGAAACAGTCACTATTTAAACCATTTGTAACAGAGATTTCAAATTTGCACGCTCAAATGTGTAATGACATATAGCCTGAATTTCTTCTTCAACCAAGCAAATTATCCTCTTGAGCCCATCCTGATGGGGAATAGGGAGACTGAAGCTTGCTAATTAGCAACATGGTGGTCAATCTCTTCTCGATTACATTACTTCTTTTGAACAAATACCTTCCCACTCTTTGCTCCTCTCCAGGTTGGCATCTTGGTGAATATGTGCCTCGGGTTCCTACAGACCTAACATATGTTTCTCCTGCACACACCTGAGAGGTGCCAACCTCAGAGAGAGAAGCAAAGGCATGTTCATGTGCCACTGGGCTCTGCCTTTGGCTCTTACCTGCAATTCCCCAGGGTATCAGGAGTAGACTTTGTGACTCTGTCTTGGGCATGACCTTACCCTGTGCCATATCCTCTTTCCTCCCTGGAGAAGGAAGCCTCAATGTAGGCCCATATCTACAAACCCACCTATTAATATATTAAAGCAATCTAATAAAAGAATACAGCTTTCCACAAAAACAAGCTCTTAAGATTATTGTCTTTCTGCAAACTGCCACACAAAACAAACTCCAAAAACCTGTTACTCTGAAGGTCAAACAGTGAATATCAGCTCCCTCCTTTTCTTCTCATTCTTGCTATAATATTCCAAATGATCTTCAGCGTATGCCTCTGGAGGGGTGGAAACAGAGGATATGAACAAGAGAGTGCAAAAGAAAAGAAAATGGCACACGGACATACATCAAAAAACAGGATCTCTATCACACATTGGTTAAGTTATCATGTGCTAGGCCCTATCCTTGAGCATTGCATATTTGATATGATTTATTTTAGTTACATTCTCATGCAAGAGCTAGACCTGATTATTCTACCCTCTCTGCTACCTCTCTTTCTCTGTCTATTAAAATAAACACATACATTTCCACAACCATCTCAAAACACTGACACTGAAAACTTTGACCAAATGACTGTAATGCATGAAAAACGATGTGTACAATCTCACCTTTCTGGTGGGCTTTCACATTGAGAGCTGAGGTTCTGTATCTGCCACTAATTGGAATAGTGGTCCTAATAGTACAATGCATTGCATTCTGGTCAGGTCTGATACATTTTCACTGCTTAAATGTGCTAATTGGAAATTCTGAGAGCTCTTCTCCTCCTTTCTTTGGCCCTTATCCCCTAGAAAGAAATGGGTAGGGAATGTAAATAGACAAAATTGGATTAAAACACATTTTGTTTTTGAAAAAGTCTCAAATTCTCCAAAAATTGTTAGAAACATACTAGGAGGTCACAGAATGGAAAATGGTGTTTCAGTATTACATACAAATACTGAACTTCTGATGCTAAACAATAAGCATCAACCAAATAGGTGTTATTTCCAACTTAGAAGAAATTGAGACCTCTATTTACTGGTTGTTTATTTAAGATATTCAGAAAGGAAAATGAAAAATTCAAATTTCTAGTTTTCTTTTCTCAGTGCATAGCATTGTGCTTTCTGTCTGGGACAGTATAAAGGAGATTATGACCTGTTAGAAGAATCACTGATACCAAGGTAGAATGGCATATGCTTTACAATAAAGTAGAAATCATATTCTGTGGGAACATAGAGGAAGAATCAAAAGTGTTTATTCGACTAAGTTTATTTAGCACCTATCATGTGCTACAGAGTTTCTTCATTCCTTAGAAAATAAATATTCATGAGCCAAAAATGTTGAGGTGAATGGACAGACAGACAGACGGACAGACGGATGGATGGATGGACGGATGGATGGATGGACGGACGGACGGACGGATGGATGGATGGATGGATGGATGGATAGATAATAGGTAGGTAGGTAGATAGACAGATACATAAATATGATACATGATACACTAAATGTACATACACAAAGTCTGTGCCAACTGTCGACACATAAGAGAGTGGTTAATTCTGTCTGTATGATGGTGATAAAGGAGGTGTCAAGAAAGGAGGTGATGGGCTGGGAATGGTGGCTCACACCTGCAATCCCAGCACTTTGGAAGGTGGAGGCAGATGGATCACCTGAGGTCAGGAGTTCAAGACCAGCCTGGCCAACATTGTGAAACCCTGTCTCTACTAAAAATACAAAAATTAGCCAGGCATGGAGGCAGGTGCCTGTAATCCCAGCTACTTGGAGGTTGAGGCAGGAGAATCACTCAAACCCGGGAGGCAGAGGTTGTAGTGAGCTGAGGTTATACCATTATACTCTATCCTGAGCGACAAGAGGAAGACTCCATCAAAAAAAAAAAAAAAAAAAAAAAGGAAGTGATTTTTTTTTAAGGTACCATTTAAGGTAAGTTACATTTCTCCAAATGAAGAAAAGATGGAAGACACTATAGGATAAGGAAACATAGGACCAAATGCGAGACGTTTCAGGAAAAGCCAAGTTGTGGGGTATAAAGTGAATCAGGGAAGGGCTAGGATAAGGTTAGAAAGATAGCCTGGGGGTCAGGTTGCCAACAGCCTCATCTGTCTTTCTAAGGAGTTTATCCTCTAGCCCATAAGAAAACTTCAAACAATTTTAGTGCAAAGTGACATGATAAATTTTACACTTTAGAAAGATCATTCTAGTCACAGTGGCTGGTGGAGAGGTCGAGTTTGGTTGAGCATATTAATGAATATGTATAACCGTAAGTGGCATTCATTGACCATATTTGGAAGATGCTGAAAAATTTTGAGATGCTGAATATTTTCCCTTCAACTTACAAACAAAATTTCCCAAGTGCTATATATTTTACACAAAGCCACAAGAAGTAATATAGAAATAATCAAACCAAAGCCCTTGACATATGGTATCATCCTATCATGAAGGATTTATATTTCCATCTAGACCTGCTGTGACAGTCATGTCTATCTCTTCCCCAAATGCAGAGCACAGTTTATCCCCACAGTCTCAGAGCAGTCTATCCTTCTTACATTGCCAACTCATATTTCTTCTAGTCCTTAGATGGCCTGTTTTGTTTGATTGTTTGTTTGCTTGTTTTTGAGATGAGGTCTTATTCTGTCACCCAGGCTAGAGCACAGGGGCTCAATCACAGCTCACTGCAGCCTTGAACTCCTGGACTCAAGCAATCCTCCCTCCTCTGCCTCCCAGGTAGCTGGGACTATGGATGCACACCACCATGCCGAGCTAATTTTTTTTTGTTTTTTAAAGACATCGTCTTGCTACATTCCTCAGTCTGGTCTTAAATTCCTAGCCTCAAGTGATCCTCCTGCCTCTGCCTCCCAAAATGCTGGGATTACAGTTGTGAGCCACCCTACTGGCCCTCCATTTTTTCTGAGCAAACAATTCTTCCAACACTAGATACCACTGGATGGATGAGAAAACTCAGAAAAGTATGATTTTTTAATGTGGTTTATAATGTAGTGCGATCAAGTTACGTACTCAAAAACAAACCAAGTGTGATTGATACTCTGTGGGGATTGGGCATTAACTGACCCTTTGTAGGTTGACCCAGGAAGGCTCTGTGCTGGACTGATCATTACAACTAAGTCTTTATGATGGTTAAGATCTCAACCAGATGTGAGAAATTTGGTGAGGGAGTAAACATGAACATAGGTACAAAGACAAAGAAGCACAGGAAATGATTGAGAATGGAGATTAGTCAAATTCCCTTGGCACAGTGTTAGGAGTGAAGAAGAGTGGAAAACAGAGAAAGATATTAGTGTGAACAGACTACATATGGACAAGAAACCTTAACTCTTGTAGAACCACTGAAAATCTTTAAATGGAACAGTAAAAGTTAGTTTCCATTGAATTTGATGATGAAAATGGGTCTTTGAGATTATCTAGTTAAATCACTGCAATCTTTTTTTATGAGAAAGCTGAGACTCCACAGACGTTACACAACATACCTGGGGCAGAGAGCTAGTTATTGACTGCACAGGGGCCAACTTGAGGTCTATTGACATCCAGCCATGCCATTGACTCAGCCACGCTGCCGGTCATGGTCTAACCCTGAAGCTGCCCAACTCCAGCCAAGGCTTCTCCAACATGACAATCTCTCTAAATCCAATTTTCTGTCCTTTTCACTCCCAAGTACTTAACGTCTCTGTGACGGCATTACGTAAGTGTGTGGTGTCCATTTTTCCACGAGCAAGAGTTAGATGTCTACATGTAAACGTGCACGTGATATGTTTATGTGCATTTTTCTTGCTTTCAAACTTACATTAGAAATTGTCTAGGCAAGTCCCAAGCCCTCTCTTTGTGAATTTTTCCATCAACATTGCCTGCAATGTACTAAAGAGATAGACATTCACCAGAAAAAAAAAATCCCAGAGGTGAGAATTTAACCAGGATTACAAGGTTAACAAAGTTATAGGTAAGATAGAGCTGGTAGCTGCTGGTTGCTTAATCAATATAAATAAAATGTTACTGTGGTCCTGTTCAGGAGTTCTGCTGCCTTCTGCATTGTTGCCTGGAGGTAGAATTTCAGGCAGGGCCATTGCAAATGGCTATTGAAGCTTGGGTCTGTGGTACATGTACCCATAAGCTACTGAGAATCAGCCTCTCAATGCCTCAGGCTCTTTGCAGAGGTAGTGGTGACCATGATTCAGGCCTGTGCTCAGAAAGCGAGTTGAAGATTTAGCTACCTTTAGGCAAGATGTTGTAAACTGGACAGGCCCAGCCCCCATCGTTTGTTTTCCTTTCCTGTTTCTATAAGATGTTTGTAGCCCCAAAGGAACAGTGCAGTCTTTGATGGCCATTTTTCCTCTTTTATCCTCTGAAACTTTCTCCTCCTCCTCTCGGAGCCTTCCCGGGCTGCCTGCTAATGCCGTTCAGAGCCTATCTGCTTATGACTACCCAAATAAGGCAATAGTTAGAAATACAATTGAAGTGGCTTCTTCTTTTAAATCAACAATAGACCTTGTTCCATTAAAAATATGATCCTACTCTGAACCATTGCAGAAATTTTTTTGATGCTTAAAAAGAAATGTCAGTGAGTAAGGGGAGTGGGGGCAGGCAGAGATTTCTGATGTTATTCTTAATTATTTTTACTCCATGTTCTCTGTACCTTTGGATCTAGCTGAGACAGAAACAGTGAAATGCCATAAAATAACCCTCTCTCGAAGTATATTTGGCCTCACAGGAAACAGGAAATACCAGAAAAGATCACAAGAAAAGCTGTAATCATAAGATTTCTAGCCTAATTCTTTTGACGTCAGCAGTTTAGATAAGTCAGATAAGCAATCGTGAGCATCCGTGAGTTTTTGAGTGCCAATCCAAATACCCACAGGGCATCTTCAACCCTTTTGAACTCTTGCATTGTTGTTTAGCCCCTGTGAGGAGGCTCTCCTCTCTTCCTTGCAAGAAGCATATCCTGAAATTGTGAATTATAGATTTTATGTCAACATTAAGGTGTTCAAAGACATAACGCAGAGCTTCTAAATTGGTCCTGTAGCCAATTCAGCTTGCTAGATGCATTGTAAATGCTGGATGAAGCCAGTGTTAATAAAACAAAGGAAAACCAAGCCTGGTTCATCTCAAAGGGAGTTTGCTTCCTGAAGTTTAAGTTTTCCAATCTGGGTAACTAATCTATGGCCATGTAATTTCTCTGACAATATGCTAAAAGATTTCTTACCATATTCAAAGTATTTAGTAACTCCTTCATTCTTCATTATTTCCACCTTTCCTTAGCTACCACCATCTCCATTGCCGACCACAACAACATATTTATGGGTTGGTTAGATATAAATGGGTTGGTTAGATAAATATGGGTTGGTTAGATATTGGGGAATACACTCCCCTTTGAGACATTTTCCTAACTTCAGAACCAGAACCATGGAACTTGACCATTGCATAATAAGCAGAGGCACAGGTATGCGCTGTTCAGGGCTTCTTATAAGAAGCTTACAATGAAACGTAAGTACACAAACACATTAAACCATTCTGTCAGGATGAGTGCTAAAGCCATATATAAAAAGTAGGAGGAAGGAGAACAGTTACGTGAAGCAGTTGAGCAAAACTGGGACCTGAACTTCCTAGCAGACAGGGCAAAGGGGGAGCAAAAATGATTATAACATTCATTATCTCCAGGAAGATTTGCTGGGAAGAAAAATAAATATTTTTCCCTGCTTTGGGTATGTGGA